ACACCTTCGAAACCATCAGCATCCCAATTCACATTTATTCTTGTCCGATTAGCTCTGCGTGCAAATGAGGACATTCCCTTGTTTTATGGTCAGCAGCGCCGCATCTCCTACATCTTCTGCGTCGACCCCTATAATCCATGGCCATCATGTATCGCCGCTTCTGGGTACGACCCAGACCCCTGTAAAGAACAAGATCTTTATAATCGGGAATAAGGTTCCAGCCTGGAAATGTCCACTCTTCTTTTCTTGCGACGGGCATAAATCTAGGATTTTGAAATTGCTCACGCTACGTTATTGTCTTATGATACTCATGTATTATGTTCTCTGGATGATCACCAATTTCTCGGCACACACGCAATGCATGTGAACAGAGAAGCCTGTAAGTTTGCCACTTTTTACAAGTACAACGCGCCTTACTATACTCCACAGTGTGAACATTCTGGCCTTTACCACCACGATGCAAGGCGGTAGTCACCTTGTATACAAGGTTTGGTTCATCGTACAATTCCTCATCGTGACCAGCAGCAGTATTCTCATACTCACAGAATTTTTTCCAATACTGATCACCAATAAGGGTATCACACCTTATCGCATTTTCATATTGCTCACAATAGAACTTGACAGTTTTGGCCAATGTCGACTCCACTATAGCTCTAATAGGTAAAAATCGAATACCCTTCAAGATATTATTGTAACTCTCGGATATATTTGTTGTCAGGTTGCCCCAACGTGCATAATCCAAATCATAGGCAAGACTCCACCTCGCTTTTGGAATAGCACGCATGTATGCTTGACCTGCTTCATTGCACTCACCCAACTTCGCCCAAAATCTTCTAAATTTGTGCGCTTGCAACTTCTTTCCCAATCTCCAGCACACCCAAGCTTTTTGACGCGGTTGGCTTTTGTGTTTGGCTATCATATTACTCCGAACGTGTAGAAGACAATACCTGTGGTATCCCAAACCTGGTTCGTCCCACAAATCAGGATTTTTTTTTAATGCACTGATTATCCCTTTATGCCGATCTGATAGGAGACATGTGACTCTATTGAAGAGAACGTGGATCCTCAAATTTACTAGAAAAAATGACCAACTCTCCTCGGTTTCTTCATCCACAAGTGCAAACGCGATAGGCAGAATATGCTTATTCGTTGTTTTCACCATTGCTACAAGTAACTTCCCCTTGTATTGACCACGAAGGAACGTGCCATCGATGCTCACAACTGGAGGGCACTTATGAAATGTCTCAATAGCAGGACCAAATGCCCAGAAAACATATTTAAAGGTCCGATACTCCTGATTTTCAGTCCCATCCTGCCATTTCCACTCAACAACTGTGCCCGGATTAGACTTCTGAAGTGCTGCCATATACCTATATTATTTTTTAAAAAATCAGACTAACATGTTAAAATCGGTCTAGGATAGTATAAAAACAAAAAAAGTGCATAAAGTATATATATAAAAAAAAAATAGTCCATAAAAATTAAAAATCGTACCACGATAATTCGGTAAAATTATCGATCCAATTGCCCCACACCGCCTCGATGGCTTTTCTTCTTGCATGCCCTGCTCTCTTATACTTCACATCCACCTTATAATGTTTCTTCACATCATCTCTTATCGACCTTACTAAATAATCTGGGTCTGTTTCAACATTACGCATTATAAGCCTGGCAATCACCCTAGCTGTTATACTGCGGTTGTCATTTTCTGTGGTACGTCCCACGAAATTGTGTCGATCTGTCCAGCTTACAATTTCAAAAAGACCATGAGGCTTACGAGACGTACGCATTCTCCATCCACAAGTTGATTGGCCAAGTGGGGTTTCCGTTTTTCTGGTTATGCACTCTGCAACCCACGATTTTGAGTCAGAATATTTAACATAATGCTGTCTATTCTGCCAAGAGCTCCAGTCAGCCATAGCGGCCCTAATCTCTTCCTTGTTGTTGAAGCACGTCCTTAAACCAATGTTTTCTTTCTTTCCTTTCCACATCTTAAGTGCAAATTCATCTCGGTCTATTGACGCAGCATTGAAGTCACCAATATTTGAATAAACATGCTGACCTTGATAAGAAGTGATTAATTTTTCTGCCTGTTGTTGTTGTTGCTCTTCTCCTGCGTCGTCGTCGTCAGTTTCATCCGCCATAGATGTTTCATAGTCACTTTCTTCTTCACTTTCAGTATAAGTACCGTCTGATTCATCATCCTGATCCGAATCACGTCCATCATTTTTATCTCTGCCTTGAGCCTCGGTAACGAATCGATCCTCGCTGCTCCTGCTTGGCCCTGCTTCTACATTTTGTTGAGAAGTACTCGCCCAATGTGATTGTGACCAAAATGTGTTCGGCCCTCCTTCTGTATGTTGATGGGAAGTACTGCCCCATTGTTGTTGGGATGCAAAAGGACCCATCGTTTGTCCAGAAAGATCCAGTAAACTTTGGGCATGAACTATCCCTTCATTTTCCACATACAGATCCAAATTTGATGATCCAGAAAAATAATAAATAATTTCCAAAGACGAGTCATCAGTGATTGTCGCGGTCCTTCTAATACCGTTAGTTTCAAACAACAAAGTAATTCTCAAATTCACAGAATATCTATCCCATCCGGCTTTATCACAAATTCTGCCCAAAAACTCAGAATATGACAATTTCCGTTCAATAAACAATGTGCCATATGCTATGTTATCAAAGGTTCTAATCATACCATACTCTACAACATACTTACTTCTCCAATATACATTAATAAAATACGGACCATTCCACTCCATTTTCTCCTGTTTAAATGTAATAATCCATAATAAATTAATGTAATTAACAATGACATTAAAATCAACTAAACACGACCTTAAAAATCTTAATAAAAATATATACAAAACAAATTATTCCATATAACATATATGATTACTGATTTCGTAAATCATCTCACCATTAAATATAATTACACTAATTCAAACAATCGAAAAAAATAATAAACGAAATAACACGTAATAAATAAGATTAAATCATTACTAACCTTCTTAATGATGTAAATTTGGCATAAAAAACAAGTTAAAGCTACACTTCCTTTTCCAAAATTGTTCAGAATTGCATACTTTTCTTCATATTCAAAACTGTCAAATGAGTAAACAGTGAAATTGTTCGATTATAAATGAACAATAAAACGGAATTTGAATTCCCGTTTTTACTGATAAATCCTGGTCCGCCGGGGTCCCGTGTACAGTGCGTCAGTGTCATCACAATTATTGTTCTGAGAATCAGATTCAAAATTATAAACGGAATTTGGATTTTCGATTTTAGGAATAAAAACGGGATTTCATTTTCTATCTTTTCTGAAAAGGCCTGGCCCAACTGTCCCGCGTTCAGTCGGTCAGTGTCAGCTCAATTATTTAGATTCTAATTCAAAAATGGAATTCCAATTTCCGGTTTTAAACTTTTTTTTTCCATGGAAATTGATTTTCTTTTTTTCGTTGACATTATTCGAACCAATTTTATGATTTTTTAATTAAATAAATAAAAACGGAAATCAGATTTCCGTTTTATTAATGACAATTAGTAAAACAGAAAACCAGTTTCTGGTATAGTTAGATTCTATTTTTTAGACCATTATTCTTGTCCAAGACCGGTGAACCTTAGAACAACGGAAGGCAAGGTTTTTGCAATTAGGAAGTGATTGCTTAGATGTAGTTAAATTGGGATTGAAACAACATTATCCAGGATCCACTATAAATGCGATTGATTCTTCAATAGGACGGGAAGGATAACACATTTTGTTAACGTGATTTGTGGTAGTGATTTTTTTGATATTGACCCGCTTTTAATTTTCAATCACATTAAAATTTTGTTAATGTAGAAACAGTTAATTTTTTCGAAATTTCAAAATGATTTAGAAATGGTATTTAATTATCATATCATAGACCATCTACTTTTTTCCCTGTATAATTAACTATCATATATTTAGAGATTTCTATTTTAAATACGATTTTTTAAATTTCAAACGGATTCCTTTTATTATAGAACATTAATTCCGTGCATTAATTTAAACAATTTCAAGAAATAGTTGATTAGATATTCAGTATACAATTTATTGGGGCCTTTTTAGTATTAATTTAATCAATATTTCTTACCATAGTTGTTGGGATATTCTAACATAAACACTATTCCGTAAGGACTATTGTCGTAAATGTTGAAACTTTTTAAAACCAATTTTTAAGAGATCGTCACGTAACATTTTGTCCTATGTGACGACATAGAAATCAATTTTGATTTCTCTCTCTGATTTTCCTCTTAGTATAATATTATAGTTAGATAGATTCGAATACCAGGAGATGGTTCGATTCTCACTGTGCCATCCATTTTTTTTGCCCACAATTAGAGTAAGACGTATATTTGCTTGCAGAGTTGCAGTTCAAGTTTAAGTATTAGCGGAGGCTACTTTGGCCTTTGACAAATTATTAACCAAAGAAAAAAAAAACAATTTTAAGCGAGAGTACGATTCAAGGTAAAGACATTTAACAAGAACAAGAAGCCTACTCTATTTTGTCTTCCAAAGATTATCCTTTTTATGAGCTTTATTATTTATTTAGAACATTTTAATAGAGTTTTATTCTACATTTCTTCTTCTTCTTCTTTTCCTACATTTTTACCTTTAAAAACAAAAGACGAAATGCATTCAACAATTTATCAACGTGCTGCAATTTATGCTAAAAAAATGTTTCACAAGATATCAACCCTTTCAGATTATTTTTGCTAAAAATTTTTTTACACTTTTTCGTTGTTATTATTATTTAAGTACTACACAGTACTGTTGACTTTTACTTGGTTTATAAACTGGCATTATTTCTTCCATAACGGAACACTGTCAATTGGTGTTGTACACACAAAAAAAAAAAAGAAAAAAAGGTAGTGAATTGTTGAATCTGTTTTTATCACGCTAACAATTGTTGAACTTTCCATTTATTAATTGAAAAATACGAATGACATACTTTCCAATTAACTGTAAAGTTCTTCCCTTCATCCTACAGAGTGAACAAACTTCCAAGGATGGTAGATTGTCACAAAACATGTGATTTAAAATTTATTAGAAGTAGTAAAAATGCAAACATATCAAGGTAAACTCCAACATTTACACGTTTATTTAGAATACCGTGAAAAAATTTACATCCTGATGTAACTTACCTATTAGATAGCATATCACAGTAAACTAGAAAGCTATTACAACATAGACGATACACCGTGAATACAGTTAAAACCAACCTAAATGGAGTGGTAGTACGAGGTGTGAGTTCTTTAGTCTTTACAACATCTGGCAGCAACCTTAACCAACAGAGCCTTCAAGTTTCAAACTCATAAGCTGGTTCACCTCTGCACCAAATTCATCAGGGAGCTCGTTGAAGACATCCCTGCAAAATCCAGAGATCATCGCTGCCATTGCTTTCTCATAGTCGATTCCTCTTTGTTGAAAGTAGAACAACTGATCTTCACCGATTTTGGATGTTGTCGCTTCATGTTCAATCCGGGCACTGGGGTTTTTTGCCTATCATCAACATACCCAGTTTAGATAAGTCTAACATCATGACAGAATCATGACAAAAAGTTGAAATCATGCCAGAATCATCCAAGGAAAAGAAACTATAATCGAGAAATTCATACAACAATAGTGCATAATACAAGACAAACATACTCGCCGCTGGCACTCGACGAAACAACTAACCAACACATCATTTCAAGCAACTGAAACAAGTACCTCTACAACATTTAAACAGCATTAGCACAGCCTCACAAAAGACTAGTGCACACCAACATGAAGAAACACTTCAAGAAATGGATAAATACTTCAAAGCAAAATCTGGAGTTGGGCATTCATAGATTATAAATTTTTTTAGTTTGACACAAGTACAGCAATTATTTGAGATCCTCATTACAGTTTACATAAGTCTAACGTCGGCCCGCAAAGCATACTTCGTGATACCATTGTTAACTGTAAAATAGAGAAAGAAAAAAAAAAAAAAATCCAAGAAGAGCAAACATAAAAGGCCCTCAGTGACCCCCTAGAGCTTGTTTATTTACAACTAGATCAATGGATGGATCTTCACAATCAAAGATCAAATTCAAACGCCCGTGTAAACTACTACTGCTCCTGAAGCAAGAGCCAAATACGCACATGCAAAAAACCATTCATAACTGGCTCCTCAAGTACTTCGTATTTTCTTAAGAACGTGAAGCTTAATGAGACAGGCTAGCTCATACTATGATGGTGAGAACCAAGGGACTGAATCGAATTATGGGAACTAGAAGAACAAACCCTAGCAGTAAGGATTAATAGGGATCGTCTTTAAAAAGCTCTCAAAGCTTAAAGTCGTAGAAATCAATTGTGAACTACAAATACGGCAGAACCTCTCTATACATAGAGGAAACTTTGATTACCCACGTTAAGCTTCTAAGATTGCTAATTGCCTAAAACTAATGAACTACCATAAAAACAGGAAACTCATTTCTAAGAAGGATTCTGACTATTTCCTAAAAACTAACATTAAACCATACTTTTGGATCCTTCCTGCATCATATTAACACATCTAGAACTTCTGCAGACTTTTCGGTAGAGGAAGATGAAAGCAATTGCAATGATAAGAAAGCAAGGAACAGAAGATATAGAATGCAATTTATTGATATTTCCTGCACTTTGAAGTGTAGTGATGCAAGAGAATTTGCTCTTACGTTTAAGTTGCAATCACCAAAACATCCTATTCTCAGACAATCACATATCGAATAAAGAATAACATTCCTCACAAAAGCAAAGTTTAAACTTAGTGGTGCTTGCTCTGTTTCGCATCACAAACATGAATGACGTATAGTTGTTGTTTTACATACAAAATAGTAATAACATACTGGTCATCCATCCCAATTCCCCACCATCTGTCTGATGGAATTTCTCCACGTTTTGAAATAGGAAAGAGGGAATCGAAGAGAGAAAGAACAGAAGATAGAAGGACCAAGTGTTAAGTAATTCCTACTTTCCCTTATTAAAAAAAAAATAAAAAAAAAATGAATCTTTCATGCGAATCTTGATGGCACCACAGAGAGAAGAAGAGACCAAAACATAAACACTTTGACAATGCGAGCCACTAAATTTTTATTTTTTTTGTCTGCATTAGACACAGAAAGACCCTTTGAAATATAGCAAGTGCTTATGTTTGCAATTTATTGGTTTGAAGAGAAGCATATAATTTTGAGCAATTTCAATAGTAGCAAGGAACCAAGTGTGTCATATTTCTAATCAATCCAATCTATCTCCATGTTTCTGATGTGATAGCAAGTTTATCATTCCTATAGCTAATAAACCATTCGCCTTGCATAACTATTGTCCAACAAGTCAAAACACTCGCATTAAATAGATTACACCTCTTAGGTGAGACCTGACTACTGACGATGGCAAAAAAACCAGTCAACTACTAATAAGAAAAATACAAACAAATATCACCTGAGGCACATGATTCGTATACTGTAGAATTTAGTCTAAATAAAAGGTATAAAGTGAATCAACACAGAAAAATTACAAAAAATCTGTCAGTTGAAATGAGTAGTACCAAACTGAGAAAAGTATGCAAGCAGACAGTTGGAAATCAAACACAGCAAGCAAAAAGCAAAACGTGAACATGAATATACCTGAATATACGGGTAAGTGTTGGCTGCTGCATTATCCCCAATGAGCATCGAATCACATTGTGATGAATTCCGGGCATTTTCTGCATGTGACATCACTTGGACTAACCCACGATAACAGTTTCTTGATTTTCCAGCTGAAATACCTTTGGAAATTATCCTACTCCGTGTATTTTTGCCTTTGTGTATCATCTTTGTCCCAGTGTCAGCTTGCTGGCAATTATTGGTCAGCGCCACAGAATAAAACTCACCAACTGAATCATCTCCCTCTAAAATAACACTCGGATACTTCCAAGTTATTGCTGACCCTGTCTCCACCTGTGTCCACGAGATCTTTGAGCGAGCCCCAGCACAAAGTCCTCGCTTGGTGACAAAATTGAATATACCACCTTTCCCTTCCTCATCACCTGCATACCAATTCTGCACCGTTGAATACTTGATCTCTGCCCCCTCATGACAGTACAACTCCACAACGGCGGCGTGTAGCTGATTTGTATCATAAGAAGGGGCAGTGCAACCTTCCAAATACTCCACAAAACTCCCTTCGTCTGCAACAATCAAGGTCCTCTCAAACTGCCCCGTTTCCATGGCATTAATCCTAAAATAGGTCGATATCTGCATCGGACACCTAGTGTTTTTCGGCACGTACACGAAGGAACCATCACTAAACACAGCCGAATTCAAAGCTGCATAGAAATTATCATCCGCGGGCACTACCCTTCCTAAATACTTCCTAACCAAATCCGGATGCTCCCTAATCGCCTCCGAAATGGAGCAAAATATCACACCGGCTTTCTCTAAAGTCTTTCTATGAGTGGTAGCAATCGAGACGCTATCAAGCACGGCGTCGACGGCAACATTAGCCAACCTGTTCCGCTCATTCAAAGGCACACCTAATCTATCGAAATACTTAATAAGCTCAGGATCAGCTTCATCAAGACTATTCAAAGTAGGCTTCTTTTTGGGTTCGGAATAATAACAAATATCTTGGAAATCAATAGGAGGATACTTATTATCAGACCACTGAGGCTCTTTCATATTAACAAATTTATCATAACATTTGAGCCTAAACTCAAGCATCCAATCGGGCTCGTTTTTCCTAGAAGAAATCAACCTAACAGTTTCCTCGGAAAGCCCTTTAGGAATAGTAAAGGAATCAATCTCTTGATTAAAACCCCACTTATATTCCCTCTTCAGGAACTTCTGTAAAGGGTCATCCTCGTTAACTTTATTACCTGCGGCGGAATCCGGAGCTGTCGTCGGAGATTCGTAGCTGACGTCAGCACGGACTTTGACATTTCTCGTTGATCGGGGCTGAAAATTTACCGAGTTCGGAGAAGCTTTCGGGAACCCTTGTTGCAAAGCTGTGATATCTTTGATGGGTTGCGGAGAAACAAGCGAAATTCCATTCGCCAAGACGGAAGCCATTTTTTGGAGAGGAGAGAGGGGTTCGTTTTTTCTGCTTTGTGGTGATTGACTGACGTTTGAGATTGATTTTTATTGTTGTTTCTGGTTTGTGTGTGGTTGCGCGTGGCGGGCGTGCTCGCACTCTCTAGAAATTTTTTTATTAGTCCCCCTTCCTTCTGAAAATCCATTGTCCAGTTTTTATACTACTTCGTTTCGTCCCAAAAAAAACAAAAGAAAAAGTTTAAAAATTTATTTTAATTTAATAAACTCAATCAAGAAAACACCACCGCCACTATAATTTATAAGTATAGAAATTTCGAAATTGTGCATCGATTTAGCTTGTTTTCAGGTAAAAACAGTGGTTTTACTTTATCCATTGTAGTTATTATTATTATAATAATAATTAATTAAAGCAGCAAACAAAAAGACACATGTCAGCTTCACAATAAAAATTTTCTCTCCAAAAACCTTTTTCAGTACAAAATAAAAACTGACATGTGGTGCTCTAACTATTCATGAAAAAAAAAAAGATAAAATTGTAAAAAACTCAATATTAATTTTCAACAATAACCAAAAAAAAAAACCCCAAATTACTCCCAAAATTTCGGATTTACTTCTTTCAAGGCACAAATTTTCCACGTTCATAATCTCCTCATAATCTCCTCATAATAATTAGTAAAATCAAATTTCAAAAAGATTTTGTCATTATCCTTCTGCCTCTCTCTCAATCCGGATGAATCTGTAACTGATCCAATTTGAAAAAATTCAGTCTCAAATATCAAACACATCAAGATGATTATACAAAAATTCAAAAAGATCCCTTCGCTTGATGAATTTGGTGAATCCCATGGACAAACACCATCGATGAGAGATTCCGAAAATTTGGAGGAGGTGTAATTTTGCTCTAATCAAATTCACGGACAACCACACAATCGCTGGTAAGTTAATCTCTCAAACCTCTTTAATACAATCAAAACCAATACAGCTATAGTTCTCAGAATCTTCATATTCAAAGGTTTCCCATCACAATCTCTCTTTCTATAGCGGCACGCAGAGTACTTTAATTCTCTATAATTCTGGGAAAAAATTCTTTTATTTTTAGGTGTCGATCTTTTTAACAGGCACACAAATTTACAGTGTCACCGTTCTCGGCCGAATCGGAAGTGCCACCGTCGAATAATCACCGGATCTGCAATCTAACTCCTGAAGTGACAGATTCAGATTCAATGGTGCTATTAGTATATTTTAAGAAAATCGACGATGCCAAAGTTGTCAAAGAAAATCTTCAAGAAACAAATCTCAGAACTCAATTGAGATCGAGTTTGCAAAACTGGTTCGTATTCTTTTGATTTGTTCATGTCAAAATCATAACAGTATCTATAATTATTGCTTTGGTGTTGTTTTTATATTTTCAACAGATTTGTTTAATTTTTCTTTTTGATTTGTTTGCAATTCATGGCTTTCTTGGTTTGTTTTTCCCAAAATTTAACCTTTTGAGGAGATTAATCATTTGAATATATCCAAATTGAAGGGCCTAGAAAGCCACGAAAGAATCATGATCCCTATCATTAATGGTACCGTATGCTCCACCATGAAGCACTTCCGGCAACGGCATGGTGGTCTGTAAAAGTCTAAATACCTTAGGAAGGGGAGTGGTAGGCGGTTGAATTGAAAAGAAAAATCTGAGGAGGTTAGGAAGACTGTCCAATGAGGCAGTAATACCCCTGAGTGATTAGGTTTGGCAAACCATTAGAGAGAGTTCTCAGGCCTGGTGAGGAAAATCAGAAAAATGAATAAAATTACCCTAAGTTGCTGAGCCACTGTGAGAAATCACTATAGAAATTAGGGGTGTTCACGGTTTGGCTCAAACCGGTGGAACCGCCCAATCCGGTCATCGGTTCGGATTAACGGGCGGATTATAATCATATTTTTAAACCGGCGGATTGAAAAATTGAAAACCGGTCAATCCGGTCCGGTGCCAAACCGTCTATCAATCCAGACCGGACCATATATATATATAAAATAATAATATATTGGTTTTGTATATATAGCGTCGAATAGAGATTTTTATCGAAAGTGCTAAGTTGTCCCATTGGCATTGTTGTTGTTCCCTCTACATTAGACCTTGTTGAAGCTCGTGTGTTCGAATCCCCCATGGACGAATTTTTTTTTTTTCAAACAAAAGCCTCCAAAAAAAAGGCTGAAAAAGGCCCAAAAATTTTCAGGAAAAGCCCCCAAAAAAGGTCCAACAACATAAAAATGTTTAATTTTTTGCCCAAAATGAAAAAGTTCAATCAGAAGCCCAATCCGCCAATCCGTCCGAACCAAACCGTTAAAAATGGATTGGATTGGTCCGGATTATACACCAATCCGGTCTGATTACAGATTGAAAATTTTTCAAACCGTAATGAACAGTTTGGTTACGGATTGCTATCAATCCGGACCGTGAACACCCCTAATAGAAATTAAAGTGAAAAAATACTCTGGGATAAATACCCTAAATTGCTGAGCCACTGTAGAAATATGCTCTGGGCAGTATGCCCTAAGTTGCTGAGAAAATTGAGTGGAAATATGCTCTGGGTAGGGGCCTGAGTTGGAAAGATCCTGAAGAAAAGCCATATGGACAATGAGAAAAAGGGTTGAGGGAGAATTAAGGTGCAGCCAATTTTGCTGCAGAATCTATGAGGAAGTCCTTAGAATCTAAAAATCTCAGTAAGAATACCTTAGTTGATGGCTTGCAGGAAATAGGTACCGATCACAATAATGTCCATTTATTCTTAAACTGATTAATCTTTAGAATGGATCATAGGTAAAAACTTGAATTTTGGATGTGATATTTGCATACACACACTGAAGAACTGTGATACTGCTTTCCTGTGATAAATAATGGTGTATAATTTGTCCAGTAAGGGGCTTGAATCTGAGACTAACATTGACATAATATTGCATTTGCTTCTGTTCATTTAGTCACATTATTTTTCAATCACTGTCATCACTTTTATCCATGAAAATAAAAAAAATTCACTTCTTCTTTTTGAGTCAGTTTTTCTGTGTCTAGCTCAGTAGGTATGAAGCATGAAATTGCTTGCTAAAATGTCACCAAAAACTCTAAGTTTGGGGGTGTTTCTTGGGGACAAGCAACAATTCAAGATTGGGGGTATCTGATGACACAAAAATATATACCCTTCTTAATAGCATTTTCTACTCATTTCTACTTATAATTTAGTGTCAATTAGTTAGGATTAGTTTACTTTTAGGGTGATTTTGTAATTCAGGTATCTCAAGGGGCCAAAGTGGAAAATCAGCATAAATGAAGACCAAATTGCACTAAAGGGCATCAAAAGGGACTGAAATTGGAAGCTGCTGGAATGGAGCTGCTGGAGCTGAAGCTACCGGAATTGGAGCTGATGGAAGGACTGATTAGAGCTGGGAGCAAGTGGAGAAATCCTTGTTGAAAAAAGATGGATTGATAGCAGATGGATGCAAGTGGAAAAAACTGTTGCAGAGAAAGAATGGTAGCTGTTCTGCTGTTCTGATCTCTGTTGTAGAAATTGTTGCTACTGTCAATCAAAGAAGAAGAACCACTAGCCGAGATCTTGGTGCCCAAGGAAGGAAATTGCTTTGCCATCACTGCAAGTTGTTAATTGCTGCAAGTGGAAGAAAAGAAAGAGGGAGAAAAGGGCAATGGCATAACAAGTGACCCAGGAAACAAGGAAGAAAAGGGTAGACGAATTAGGCTGAATTGGGGGCTGAAGACATAATGATGGAAGGAAGCAGGCTACTGATGCTGACTGTTGCTGTTGAATTGGCTGCTGAGGATTAAAAGAATGAAGAAATAGAGACTGGTGGCTGAAAATTGGAGCAACTGCGCCGGAGAAGAAGGCTAAAGGAAGAAGGTAATGATGAGAGGAAGGTGACTGATTGCGGCTGAAGAGAAGGAGCAGCCAACAAGAAGACTGCAACTAGCCAACTAGGCAAGTCACAGAATAAACAACTCCTTACTGCTGCAAGTTGCCGCCTCACCTTTCTGTCACAGAAGAGAAGGCCTGAAGTTCCACCAATCCAAGCCTTTCCAAACCTCCATAAATACCCAGCCAATAGCAGTAGAAAAAAAAGGAGAGATTGGGTAGTTAGAATTAGTCCTAAAGACATTAGTTAAGTAGTTAGTTAGTTGGTTAGAAACAGGGTAGTAGCAGGAACAAGGCAGACTGTCACTCTGTCAAGTGGCATTCGCCACTCGACATAGTGAGCAGACAGACTGTCCCTGCTACCCTCCTTCCTTTCTCTCTTCTAACCTTTAGAACAGGATTCATGTCCTGTCTTTTGTACTCTGTTGCTCTCATGCTTAACTCAATAAGCATGAGTAGTTAACTCAGTTAAGGGTTCAATCCCTACTATCTTTATGTGAAAGTTTTATTTTAGTTTCCTTGATGAGGTGTTGTGCCGAGGTTAAGTGCTTAAATTTACCTATTAGTTAACTTGATCAATTAATTAAAAGTGCATGTATGGTTATGAAGATAACCCAGAAGGGGGCGCATAACCTCAGAACTGCTTAATCTAGTCTATGACGAAGGAGGAATTCCACCCCTTTGGTTTCATTCACCAACGGAAGTTTAGTGGTGGCATAGGCGATCTTTAAGGGCTTAAGAACTCAATGGCTGGATTAAATAAGACTCTGACTGGGTTAATAATTTATGACTCTTTACTCTATCTTGACAAAATTGTAGAGATACAAAGGTGCCTGATCGAACAACTAATCATACACTATAGGAATATTGAATCAGAACTGGATCATAAAGATAAGAAGGTGATTGACCCTTACTGCCTACTCAATCTGTCAAGTGACATTTCTCACTCTCCAAGTGACAATCTTTCCAACTAGTTCTTTCTTTGTTTACATTTTAATAAGATTTTGAGCGGTTGACTGCCGTCCTTGTGAAACGACCCTGCTTACCACTAGCTAATAGTTTTAAGTAAGTTTATAAATTATTCTTTTGAGGAACGATTCCAATGACATTACTCAAATCGTTGCTTCACCAACGCCTGAAAGAAGAAACCGCAACCAAGATGAAGGACGTGACGAGAATACAATCCGTTAACGAGCGAGAGGTGGAAACCCTAATAATCCATATGATTTTGGAAACATGAAGATCAAGATACCTGAGTTTC